TTATCGATTTGAATCTTTTACCTGAATTCCCATACAAATCTTTTATATTTACGGCCATTTTAAATTACGCAATATGAAACTACATGTGTTAATGATTAAACTCACACACTGAGCTCGGGCCGCCTGTGGGTGGTGGAACTTAATTACAAGTGTCCGTTGAAAACCGGTTGGCAACAATAGAAATGACCATTTCAGATACTTTTTAGGTGTCCGCGTCCGCTTAATAGAGTTGTCCGCTTAATAAAGGTTTCATTTAAAGTAAATAAGGGAAATAAATTTGGGGACTTCGGCTACTGTCCGCTTAATAGAGGTTGTCCGCTTAATACGGTGTCCGCTTAATACAGGTTTCACTGTATCAAGAAATTCCAGAAATTCCGGTTGGGATGTTAATGGAATTCTTATTTACACTACGTTGAAGATAAACAAAAAATAAATCTTTGTACAAGTTTCCATTCCCGTAGCATATTTCATTTCGAAATACAGCAATTTGAACTTCCGAGTTTTTACAGTGCGTGACACCAAAATAGGAATGCTGTCTCGTTGAAAAAGTCTCTCCTCTTGATTTTCAGCAGTATAACCATTTCAAGTATTAGAAGATAAGTTTATGCGCACGTATGCTCGTTCTCAAGTGAAAAGAAATAGCTTTTACAGAAAAAGTGAACCCCAGATGTTTTTGTTGATTTCCGGCGGCCATATTGGTGGACCAAAACGGTACACCAATATGGCGTCTCCATACAAAGCTCTACAAAGGTGCATGAAACGTTTCGGCAAATAACTCAGAAACTGTGGGCCACAAAGACCTGAAACTTGCACAAATCGTTTATGTTTCAGTCTTTTATAACATTTCATTTTCTTGTGTTTGTTCCGCTAGACAGTTTCCAATTTTGTTTTTGTTGCGTGACAGTGAAAACGATCTATTCACCGCGATATCTGTGTAAGTGCCACCATCTTGAATTTTGGTGACGAGAGCATAAACCAGCCAGCCCCTTACCCCCTCTGGCATAAACGAATGGAACTTGTGTCAAATGGAACACGTTCTTTACTTGATGGACCTTTCCATCAAAGTTTCCGAAAGTTTTTGGCTTTGGTGCCTTTTATTTTACCTTGTTTTATTTGTTGTTATATTGACTGTTTTGGTACTGAAATCTTCATGTCGAAGATAAAGTCACTAAAATTGTTGTCAGTAAATGGAAAACGCTCGAAGTCACCTGCAACCAGCACGTGACAGCCGCACGTGAGTTCGAGCGGCAATTCACGAAATTAAATCCTGTTGCTTGCAGTTTGACCGTACAAAATGAGACTGGTATTCTCAATCAGTTCTAAAATTTAATCTTGACACAGGGGAGCGTGAAGTGAACTGATACAAGGCTACAAACTGCACATTACGTAACTATGTTAAGCTCGTAGGGATAGGAAATTAAAGCAGCTTCATCTGATAAACATACTCGACCCTAGGATCCGGTTCTTACAGATGAGAGCAAATCAAAGATTGGTTCGAAAAAAATCGGAGCAACAGTTAGGAAGTTTTGCTATGTAGGTATTATGGGTTTTTGCTTGACTGATCGGAAGTCTGAGGTTCGCAAACTCGTCGGTTGAGCAGATTTTAATTTACCTATTTTTATATAACATTTACGATCAGATGGGGCTGTCTTTACCAACTATATTCCTTGCATTTAAGGTTTTTAAATTGCTTTGTTTTTGCTTAGAAAAGTTAAATTAGATTCACATTTTGGTGGTCTTCTTTATGCGTGTTTAGAAAATCTGAGTTGACTCGTGACTTCCGGTTATTGAAAGATTTTTACGGCGACCCACGTGGCATGACAAAGGATCTTTATTGAGATGTGAGTTAGCGCGTGACTTCCGGTTTTCGTTATAATTTCACATGATTTTCCTTTCACGAAATATTATAACTGCCACTCTAAGTATATAGAGAGTCCCCAGATGTAACTTTTAAGCGTTTTATGTGGACAGTAAAAGGTATCCGCATGATCAAAGTCTAAAATAACTGTAAAATAGCAGTGACTTGAGTTACTTGGTTTTCAGGCTCATAGTACTCTACCGGGGGGCTAAGATGTTGGCAAATTTCCATAGCATGACATTGCAATTTGTTGTTTAGAGTTTCAAGTTCAGTAGAACCCCGGTAACTCGAACTCTGAAGCCAACAGCCGCCGTCCGGCGAAGAGCATGGAGAAACGGCTGTTTTCGCAGGCTATGAAACTAAAGGAAACGAAAAACAGTTCGAGTTAGCGAGGATTCGAGTTATCGGGGTCGATTGCAACATTCAATTTTCAGTGTTAAAAACTGATAGTTACTGATTTTTCAGCACTTCCGGCAGTGTATTAAAAACCTATTTAGGGACGGACCATAAAAAAAGTTGTGGGGGGGAGGGGAATTTTCGAGCCGCAGGAATTTTTTTTCGTTATCAAATTCCTTGTATTTTTTAGGGTTAATTGGCCTGCAAGAATTTTTTTTCATTTAATTTTCCCTTGGGCGAAATTTTTTTTTTGTACTTCGCCCGCCCCCCATAAGTTTTCTAATGGTCCGTCCCCAGAAACGATAACATGATTAGGCATTTTTTATAACAAGACGTGATCTGTTCGTTGCACCAATTAAAATCAAAACCTGTAAGTGTTTAAGTAAGTAGTGTTAGATTTAGTGTTTTTACTGATTATGCAAAAAGAAGGCCTAGTAGAATGGCATCCACGTAGGGTTATTCGAGTTATTGGGGCAATTTTCAGTGACTTTCTGATCAAGGGAAAGGAAATTTAGTTCGAGTTAGCGGGCCATTCGAGTTATCTGAGTTCGAGAATGACCGAAAAGAGGGGTGAAATCCAAGGGAAATTGGACTTAGCAGGGAGTTTGAGTTACCGTAAAAACCCGCGTACAAGAACCTAGATTTTTCCAACTTTGCCTAAATAGGTTCGAAATGGGATTGAGTGGAATTTTAGGCTACTTAGGTTCTTAAGTAGGTTCTTAATTTGTTAGGGGCACTAGCGATCAGCACAGATGACTACTACAGGGCACATGTGATATGGATTATATAGCTGTATTAATACAGTTTAGATGATAACCATACGGTAAATTTATGTTTCCAAAGTACTAGCATACATGTCTTTCAAGCAATGTCCATAAAATGCTGTGTTACATTTCAACTGTGCTTTCATTTTGGTAAAATAAGAACCTATATAAAATTTTAGGCCAAATAGGTTATTATGAAAAGTGGGTTTAAAATGCAAATTTTAGCCTAACAAGTTAAGTTTTTCATAGCGGGTATTTACTACCCATAATCGGTTATTGTGATAGACTGTGTAAAGAGACAACATAACAAATGTTTGTTCTAGTGAATTTCCAATGAATGATCGCAAAATATTGTGGCGCGGTGGCTCGCTAGTCATGACAAGTATTTAAAGAACGAAAAAGGTTTGTTCTAGACAGCCAACGAGTTACATGTAAAGTATAAGTCAATGCAAGACTTGGTGGCTCTTCAGTCAGGTCTACCGAACCACCGAGCCACCCAAACGAATATACCTTGAAAATTTGCCCTGCATTCTGTTCAGGGTTGAAAATTCAGAAAATTGCTTCCATGCTTTAATATTATATGCTTCCGGACACCCGCTAAATTAATTCAGTTATAACAGGTTTAATACAAATGGAAATTTACATTCAATTTTTCATTACAAGCCAGCTTTTTAATTTCCAAATGTACCATACTTTTGTCGTCTTCTTCCACAAAGTATGATGGAATACTTTTAGTCTGCGAGCAGTCCCTTCAGTCAGTCGAGTCTAAGCTCCACAGTACGTTTTTCGCTCGCTTCGCTCGATTTCCTTGCTCGCGTACATACATAAATACAACCTTTATTTATACACGATATTAATTCAAAGCTACAAGCTTGTGGGGTCGTGGATATGACCATTCAGAGGGAATACTCGCAGTCTAG